TACAGTGGCTCTATCTCGGCTTACTGCAACCTCTGCCTACTGGGTTCAAGTGATTCTCCTGCCTCAGCCTCCCAAATATCTGGGAATTATAGGCACACACCACCACACCCAGCTAATTTTTGTATTTTTAGTAGAGAAGGGGTTCACCATGTTGGCCACGCTGGTCTCGAGCTCCTGAGCTCAAGTGATTCTCCTGCCTCTGCCTCGCAGAGTACTGGTATTACAGGTGTGAGCCACCATGCCTGGTTAGTAAAGAGTGTAATTAAAAGAATGAACACATTGGTGGCGCGTACCTGTAATCCCAGCAATTTGGGAGGCTGAGGCAGGAAAAGCGCTTAAATCCGGGAGGCAGAGGTTGCCATGAGCCAAGATCGTGCCATTACACTCCAGCCTGGACAAAAGCGAAACTCTGCCTGAAAAAACAAAAAAGAATGTACACATAACTTGCATCTGTGTATATAAATAGATACAGAATAATAATTGTACTAAATATCATGCCTTATTTGCTAAGATTGCAGATTTTTTTTTTTTTTTTTTTTGGCACTGAATGTTTGGTATTTTAATTTCTTATGTCCTTTGGACACTCTCTTTTCATGGCTTTGCTACAGTCATGTGACAGAAATCTTGGTTTCGCATGTGAGTTACTTTTCCAATTCCTATAGACAGCTCCATAATCTTCTTGAGTACTATTATGAAATGAAATGGACATGTTGTGTTTGTTTAAAAGTATAACCAAAAGATGGGGATGTTAGGATTTATTGTTTAGAGGTAATATTGGTGCAGGTTACTAGTTTTTGTAAATTTTGGCTTTTATATTCAGTAATCTGGAACATTAACAGTTTTTCTCTTTTTAAAATGTTTTATAGGAGGTTCAAAATGGAAGACTGTTTAGGCTCCTAGCAAAATTGGGAACAATCAATGAGAGGCCGGAGTAAGGATTTACAGTATTTTACAGTATATTTTTAATCAAGAGCATTATTTTACATAATAAGAATACATATGCCTGGTTTTATTTGGAAAAAGAAAAATTCTCATGTGAAGTGACCTTAAGATTGTGTTATCTGTTAGGGTGCTATTTTTAACCACAGCCTAGATGTGGGAGTGTCCTCATGAATTTTACATATATACGTACAGAAAATACACTGTTAGAAATCTCTTGTGGTTTGCACATGAGGAAACATTTTATGATTAATACTACCTCTGCTTTATCTTCTTTTTGAGGAAAAAGTTTCATACCAGTTTACCCTGGTCAGTTTGGAGACTTGAGAAACATCAAACTGTTCCATGCCTCTTACCTTCTTTCTATTAAAGTACGCTTTTGTTTGTTTTTTGAGACAGAGTTTCACTCTTGTTGCCCAGGCTGGAGTGCAGTGGTATGATCTTGGCTCACCACAACCTCTGCCTCCTGGGTTCAAGTGATTCTCCTGCCTCAGTCTCCTGAGTAGCTGGGATTACAGGCTTGGTTGATCAGGCTGGTCTCGAACTCCTGACCTCAGGTGATCTGCCCACCTCAGCCTCCCAAAGTGCTGGGATTACAGGCATGAGCCACAGTGCCTGGCCTAAAGTACACTTTTTGTAGCTGTCATATCAGTGACATTGGAAAGGCATCACCATTTTACACTATTTGTCATTTAGTTCCACCTCATTTGTAAGTTAAAGTTAACCATATATACGTAAGCAGAGTTGATGTTTGTACTATATAGCTGTCAAAGACAGGTAGAACAGAATATGCAGTTATCATTTTTTAATTATACTTTAAGTTTTTGGGTACATGTGCAGATTGTGCAGGTTTATTACATAGGTATACACATGCTTTGGTGGTTTGCTTCATCCATCACCTCATCATCTACATTAGGTATTTCTCCTAATGCTATCTCTCTCCAATCCCCCCCACCTGCTGCTATCCCTCCCCAAACCCCTCCACCCCCCGACTGGCCCCAATGTGTGATGTGCCCTTCCCTGTGTCCATGTATTCTTAGTATTCAACACCCACTTATGAGTGAGAACATGCAGTGTTTGGTTTTTTGTTCTTGTGTCAGTTTGCTGAAAATGATGTTTTCCAGCTTCATCCAAGTCCCTGCAAAAAGGACATGAACTCATCCTATTTTAGGGTTGCATAGTATTCCATGGTGTTTATGTGCCACATTTTCTTTATCCAAAATATCTTTGGTGGGCATTTGGGTTGGTTCCAAGTCTTTGTTATTATAAACAGTGCTGCAGTAAACATACGGGTGCATGTGTCTTTATAATAGAATGTTTTGTAATCCTTTGGGTATATACCCAGTAATGGGATTGCTGGGTCAAATGGTATTTCTATTTCTAGATCCTTGAGGAATCGCCACACTGTCTTTACACTCCAACAGACAGTGTAAAAACATTCCTATTTCTCCACATCCTCTCCAGCATCTGTTGTCTCCTGATTTTTTTTTTTAATGATCGTAGTTCTAACTGTCGTGAGATGGTATTTCAATGTGGTTTTGATGTGCATTTCTCCAATGACCAATGATGTTGAGCTTTTCTTTCATATATTTGTTGGCTGCATAAATGTCTTCTTTTGAAAAGTGTCTGTTCATATCCTTCGCTCACTTTTTGATGGTGTTTTTTTTTTTTTTCTTGTAAATTTGTTTAAGTTCTTTGTAGATTCTGGTTATTACCCTTTTGTCAGATGGGTAGATTGCAAAAATTTTTTCCCATTCTGTTGGTTGCTAGTTCACTCTAATGATCGTTTCTTTTGCTGTGCAGAAGCTCTTAAGTTTAATTAGATCCCATTTGTCTATTTTGGCTTTTGTTGCCATTGCTTTTGGTGTTTTAGTCATGGAGTCCTTGCCTATGCCTTTGTCCTAACTGGTAATGCCTAGGTTTTCTTCTAGAGTTTTTATGGTGTTAGGTCTTATGTTTAAATCTTTAATCCATCTGGAGTTAATTTTTGTCTAAGGTGTGAGGAAGGGACTCAGTTTTAGCTTTCTGCATATGGCTAGCCAGTTTTCCCAACACCATTTATTAAACAGGGAATTCTTTCCCCAATTGCTTGTTTTTGAAAGGTTTGTCAAAGATCAGATGGTTGTAGATGTGTGACGTTACTTCTGAGGCCTCTGTTCTGTTCCATTGGTCTAGAATTTGCAATTATTATGACTATAGTGTAGGCTACGTTACAGGAATGTTTAATTTGTTAATAAGAGATAGGTGATAGATAAATACTATTACTTGAGGGATTTTCTTTTTTTGGACCATGAAATTCAAGTCCGCTTGCTTTCTTCAAAGTGAAAAGACTGGTTTAGAGTTTTTCCCTAATAATTTTTCTAAATGAAGAGAACATAACAATATATGTTAAACCATTTTTAGAAAACTCTTCTAGCTGTTTCTTCTAGTATTTATTTCTTTACTTTAAAATGTATGTTTATAGTCCTATTCTTGGTTTTTCCCCTCAATATATCATTCAGCTAATGACGCACACACACACACACACGAGTTGAATCTGTGTTCAGTGTTACATAACACCTTTCCATATAGCCAAAAATAGGTAACCTATCAGTTCCTTTTTTCCCTCCCACTTAGAGAATTGGCCCTGGATTCTCTGTCCTTCCTGCTTCTGTCTGGGCTGGTTACACTTTAAGCCCGCATGTGCTCACACTTTAGAACTACAACTTCCCTTCATTATTATCTGGGAATTCTCATTGTCTCTCTCTTAGTGTTGGATGCCCTATTTTCTCACGTTTTTCCTTGGTTTATTATTATTACTTTTTTACTTAGTGGAGCATGTCCTTGTAGCTTCCTGGAAAAAGTGAGCTTTTTTAGTCTTGCACGTCTGAAAATGGCATTATTCTACTTTCACACGTTATTACTGTGAATGCATGTAAAATTCTAGATTATC